TCAGTGACAGATTAGATATGGGAGGTGGGGATAGGGAAGGGAAGGTGAGAGAGGCTGAAGAACGGAGTGAGCCTGGGGGACTAGGAGGGTGGGTGACAAGTACTTGGAAAGTCTGGAAGCAGGAAGGGTTTTGGGGGGAAAGATAATGAGTTCAGCTATGGACATGTTGAGTTTAAGGACATCCAGTTCGAGTACGGGACATCTAGTAGGCAGTTGGAGATGCTAGACTAGAAGTCAGCAGAGAAGATAAGGTTATATAAGTAGACTTGAGAATCATCAGCATGGAGCTAATGCCTGAATCTATGGGAACTAATGGGATCATCAAGAGGAATAATATAGAGGAAGAAGAGAAAAGGGCCCAGGACAAAGCCTTGTGGTTAAGGAGTATGACTTGAATGAAGATCCAGCAAATGAGACAGAAGAGTTGAGTTTATAACACAAATTTGAAGTGGAACTAGTCAGCTCGGTGATTTTCTCCAACTTTTGCTTGGCAGTTTTGTTCACCCTTCCTCCCATATATGTATAGTAGACATTGGAAATGATCCAAGCTTGGCAGGAGATGGGGAATATGATAAGGCAACAAAGGACTCAAGAGAACAGTGTAGAGCTGAACTGGTTCAAGAAAAGGTCAAGTTGGAAAAAAGGAGAGTGTAGCCAGTACAAGGGTGATGGCCTGGGAGAGAACTGAGGGAACAAGGAACTTGAAGTCAAGGTTTGGACAAAGAATAGGATTTGGGATTAAAAGTCAGAGGAAAAGGTAGAATGACAATGGACAGTGATCAGGTAAGTAAATTTGGGGATTCATGAACATGGATAAGGTGTATTTGTAGGTGATGGCAAAATTAAAAGTATGACTATTTTTATATGTGGCTTAGGTAGAGGGGAGCAGTGAAACATGCACATTAAAAAAATGTGAGTGTAGCTAAAGTACTAGAAGGAGTTAGAGTCAGAGAGTCCATAAACATTTTTTAAGTGCCTACTAAGTTCCAGGCACTATGCTAAGCTCTGGGGATAAGAAGAAAGGCACAAGACTGTCCCTGCCTTCAAAGAGCTCACAATCTAAGGGGGTTGGGGGGGGGGAAGAGAGACAACACGAAAAAACACAAAACTGAAAAGGGAAGGAAAAGTACCTATGCAGGGGCATGATGAGGTCCTGGTGCTGGGAGTGGGAAACGATCTGAGGATGTATGAATTGGAGCTGATTTCATCATACTTGATAGAAAGGCCTTTCTTCTCTACCCCAGAAAGGAGTCGTCTAATGCCTGACACAACAATATTTCTTCTCTTTCTGAAGGAGACTGAAGACTAGGCAGTTGATGCAGTGTGATGGAATAGCACCTTCTCCCCTCACCAAAAAGGCAAGAGACTGGCATCTCTTCCCCTTACTTCAAAGACAGGAGAAAAGGCCTTATATTTACCAAAATATTTATTGCATCTCTTTTTGTGACAGCAAAAAACTAGAAATGAAGGGGATGCTCATCAATTGAGGAATGGCTGAACAAAATGTGGTCTATGAATATAATGGAATAACTACTGTACTGCAAGAAATGAGAAAACAGACAATTTCAAAGGCTTGTATGAACTGATACAGAGTTAAGAAGAACCAGATTACAATTTACACTATAGCATCAGTATTATAAAAATAAACAACTTTGAAGATTTTTATAAACTGATGAATGAAATGAGCAGAACTGGGAGAACAATTATACAATAACAACAATGCCATAAAGAAAAACACCTTTGAAAGCAGTAAGAACTACGATCAATACAATGACTTTGACTCCTAAGGACTGATGATGAAGCACATTATCCACCTTCTGACAGAGACGATGTAATTCCGAGAGCAGAATGAAACATTTTTTTTTTTGATCATGGCCAATATGGGAATTTGTTTGCTTGACTATGCATGTTTATCACAAGGAATGTGTTTTCTTTTTCCTTTTTTTCCAATGGGGTGGGGGATGAGAGAAAAAAAGATTCTGCTAATAAAACTAATAGGAGGCCTAGAGCTGAAAGGGACCTTAGAGATTATCTAGTCCAAATCCTTCACTTTTCAAATGGGGAAGCAGAGGACCAGAGAGGTTAAATGACCTGCCCAAGGTCATATAAGTTAAGTAAGTAGCAGAGGAGGGACACTATTATATGTGCTTCAAGGGTACATCAAACTGCTTTTGTGTGACCTAGCACTTAGTACAGTGCTTGACACACAGTAAGTGCTTAATAAGTACTTTTTTATTCTTTTCATTGACATGATATTCATTCCACAGTATCTAACAAAGTAGTTATTCAATAACTATTATCATCAATAACTCACTTATATTTCACTTTAATATTTACTAAGACACTTTCCTCACAACACTTTTATGTAGTGCAACTACTGTTATCCCCAATTTACAGATGAGGAAGAAGAGAAGTTTTATCAGCTTACTTATGGTCACAAAGCTAATAAGCAGGACTGAACTCAGAATGCCTCTCCCTAAATCTTGTACTCTTTTAATCATATCAGGCTGCCTCCATCAAGTCCAACAAATGTCTCATCTCTTCATGAAGCCTTCTGTCATTTATGTGGACCACCTTAATGTATCCTTTCTCTGATTCTTTGAACTCCTTCATGAATCTACAACAGATTTTTGCTAATAACTTTAAGTAGAAATACAATCTTCTAATTTGATTTATACATTCTTAAATGGGAGCGTTGTTCATATTTCTTTTTTTGACCTGATAATACATTTGACCCGATAATTCATCATATAGTAGGTGTTCAATAATTTTTAATTAAATCAACAAAAAGCATCACGCATGAGTCTACATATATTTATTACATATGCACACTTGTATGCATACAGAAATCATAAAATGCTACGACATATGAAGTAACTCCCCTAAAGCCATCATTTCCTGGTTGAATAGGAGTTTGCACAGCAGAAAGGCAATTTGAAAAATTAGGAGCTTGAAGTTGACAAGAAATAGGTAGAACTGCAAAGAAGAACTATCAAAGGAAAAGGAAGGAGTTGTAGCTGTCATTCTTTTATACAAAAAAATTTTTTAAAAATCTTTGTATTAAAATGAGAAGGTACAGAGAAAGTTTAAAGAACTGAACATCTGTGCAGTTCAGACAGCTACTAAGTATGGGTCAATGACAGAAAAAGCAGACCTGGAAAGAGTCTAACATACCTCGAATCCTCTGTCCCTTGGATGACTGGATGTCTTATGAATGACTGTTTTTGAATTAAAGAAGCTGAGATGGAGGCAAAAAGATATTAAGTGAAGGGGGCAAAGAATTAGTAGAGAAGAAATCAAAGGAGTTAACCTATCAGAACAGTGGAGTTATAATATTTTGACTATTAAATCAAATGTCAGAGAGTGGGCCAGTAAAAAAGAAAGTAAAGAGAAGATATACCTCAGAAGTTGATTAGATGGCAATTGCTGCCAATTATGAACCTAAGTCTTACTTATATTACTGTTGTTGAAAAGGACATACCTAATAATTTTCCTTCATTATTTTTCATATATTAAAAGCTATAAGCTAAGAATATACCCAATGCAATGGATATTACATGGGAGTTCCAAATATTAGAAGATGAAAATAGCCTCATTCTAAAAAAAATTTTATACTGCCTGCACTAATTGTCTTTTCTGTACTTTTAACTTAATTTCTAAGTCAGAGGTTAGTACTCGTATACTTCTTAAACGAATTTTTTGTTTCCTCGAGAAGTGGTTAAAAACTAAAACACTGGTTAATAAAAACTGGCGGTTTCAACATGCATCTAATTTCATGATTATGCAAACTGGAAGACAGGACTGCTCTACCTCTTGACTTCTTGAGTTTTAAGAGATCAATACTGCTGAAAAGAGCTAAAGCAGACAATTCTCATAAACCAGGAGGAAAGGGGTTGGGAGGGGATGGGGGAGAGAAACGAGTTGCTCGTAGGCAGGAGGATATTAAAAAAAAAAAAAAGCTTAGTGGTGTCAGCTGTTCCTTTCCATTACTCTTGAAACAAACACTACAAACTGTCAGAAGACAAAAGAGGCAATGAAAATTTCTAGAAAGATTTCTAAGATCTTCTAGAATGTAGTCAACTCCAAAGCCAACCAAACCCTCCAAATTACAATCCCACCCAAAACCCGGAGAGAATTTCTTTGAAAAAAAGAAAAACGCGTCGCGGAAGACCAGGTGCCTACAGCCCGGGGACCACTCGGACGGGGAGGGGGCGCGCATTCTTCTCCTCGGGTGGGACACATACCACTAAGACCCCGGGGCTGCCACACTACGGCCCTCCCTCGTCCCCCGCCCGGCCCCACGCGGCTCCCGGGGCGGGGATCGCTCCGTGCCGAGGAATGTAAGCCCGCCTCGCCCAGGGAGGGATTGAAGAAAGTGCTCTCCCTGGGTAGGGGTCACTCCCTTCCCCACGCCCTCAAAGCGGGGAGAGTGGTCGGCCAGGAGTGGGAGGAGGAACAGAAACAGAGACCCCGCGGATGGTCCGTGGGGAGTGGAGGGTCTGAGGACTAGACCACCGCCCCCCCAGCTCCGTGGCTGAAGAAATCAGGCCCCCCCCATCTCGACTCCAACCGGGTCCGCACCCCTCGCCGGACTGGGGCAGGGCAGCAGAGCCCAGCGGCAGGGCGAACGCTCGACCTCTCGGCTGACCCCACTCCCTGCCCCGGCCCCGGAGCCTACCGAATAGACGGGTGCGGGGGCGGGAATCTTGGAGGTAGAGGTGGAAGCGACGGCGACGAAGCATTCGGATGACCGAGCCGCTGCCATGATCCCGCTGCCGCCCTCCGGAGGCGCCGGAGCTTCCCAGCTAAGCAGGAAGGGTGACGCTGACAGCTGCTGACCCGCGCTCAGCGGCCCGACCTCGCCTGCGGCGGCGGCGGCACCCGTGGCAGGAGCTCTTAGAGGCCCCAGGCGCCGCCATCTTGGCCCGGACGGAAGCCGCGCGGAACCAAAGCGCGAGCCCAGGCTCGGCCCCAGAAACGCGGAAGTCGGCGGGGTCTCACTGTTAATTGCTGAAGAACCGAAGGTTTGGGTCATAACTCCGAAAGGTTCTTCCGCCCAACTCTCCTTTTCTCCCCTCGCCGCACACCCGGTAATGGCCAAGGAGGAGAAGGCAGGACCGGATGACTCTTCCAGCCCTGAGAGTCTCCTGGATACATTGTTGCACAACCTGTACGACTTTGGTGAGTGCGAGGAGCTGGGCCAGCACCCACGTGGGCGAGAAGTGGGCGCTTGAGGGGCGCGGTGGAGTGTCTTACACGTGTACTTTCTGGGGGAGTAAGGGACCAGCTCGTTTCCGCCAGTGGCAGCTACTCCAGACTCACGTGTAGACCCGAACCCGGGCAGGATTGATTTAGAGGGCGCCCAGTTAACCTTCCCCACCTCTCAGAGCCTCTGTTTATTCCCGGGCGAGACCAGGAGCGTGGGCTGTTCCACGCCTGCCAGGTGCTTGGTATACTTTCCCACGAACTAGCCTAGAGACGGGAGGCCAGCCCCCTGCTACCACTCCCCACCCTTTCCCAAGGAAAGCCCACCCGCCATTACCTCCAGCTTCCTGCGCACCACCCATCCCACCCCAGCCCCATTGGGTAGTAGTGGGTTTTACACACATACATACACATATACACCACCTCCTACCCTCTACCACCATTACCTCCCCACTCCCTGATTGAGAAGTAGTGAGCTTTAGTTCTCCCAGAAAAAGCCCCCACCCATCCGTCATCTCCTTCCATTTCTGTTGACCCATTGACTTGGTACAGACCTGTTCTCTGTGCGATTCCTGCTGTCTCTTGGGCACTTTGGGCACCGGGGTATTTGGGGATACAGTTACCAAGTTCACAGTCTTCTCCATACCTTTCTGTGCCGCTTCAAAAAAAGAATAAAGAAAAAAAAGGGACCTCTGAAAACCTGCTTGGCCCAGGTTACCCGGCTTTTCTCTCGTTTTTACTGTGTGTAGCCCTGCCTAATTCAGCTACCCTGCCCTGGAACAAGAGTATCTCTTTGCAGCATTGGGGGAGCGCAGGACCGAGAAATATGTGCGAACTCAGAGCTTGTCCCTACCGGTGGAGAGCTTGGACAGAACAAACTAAGACCTTCCTAAAGAAAACTTTTTACTGCCTCTTGAGTTCCTAGCCAAGATAAACGAAGGTCTTCCTTAATCTCAATGGGCATGTTATTAATGGTTGGTATATATTATCCTACCTGGCACTTCCACGCAAGGAAGGTAGCACCACACCCCTTTAGCCAATGGTGTTAGGAGGGGTGGGGGGAAGATCGAGGGAGGGGAAAAACCCTTTTGTACATATCACAGACAATAATTATTAATAGGGGTCCTTGTATGTATGTAAGTGCAAGCACATTTTCGAAACTAGTTAAGATGTTGGAAATGCTATTTTCTTTTTAGTTGTCTGTTTTGAGGCTGGGTAGACTGGACTTCTAGGTTGTTTTAATATAAAAATGGTCAACAGTATTTATTGAGTACCTGTTATAGGGAAAGCACTGTGTCCTGGGGAATTGAAGGAAAGAAGGGAGAGGGCAGTTACAAACCAAGCAAAAGTCTGGAGATTAAAGGCTTTTAAGAAGATTAAAATCTAATTGGAGAAACTTATGTGTTATAATATTATATATGCTTATAATACTATACATTACAAAATATGCAAACATATGGGATGGTAACTAAGTCAGCTGGCATTTGAAGAGTTAGGCAGTAGGTGTGCTGAATGATCAGGGAACTGGGTGTTTTAAATGCACAGGTGCTAGGTAAATCTAGAGGCCAAGGAAGCTGGAGAAGCTTCTAATTATGAGGTGGGGAAGAGGCAGGGCCTTGGGTGACTGACAGATTTGCTCAGGTTAAACCAAGAACATGATTGTAATTTAGGGAAAATAGGGCAGTGAAGTGTTTACTGGTGCCTCAGGTTTAGTTTAATTGTTAAATTTTTGCATGTAGAAGATTGGGGGTGAGAAGATTGTATACCTTCTATCTCATAATGCAAGAAAACTTTTTTGAGCAAAAAGAACCATTTTCTGATGCCACTGTCAGCTTTAGTCCACCATGCAGGCAGAAAAGTGAGGCAATGGTGTCTCAGAATGATATTTTTATTTCTGGGTCATGGCTTAAAATAGAGGAATGATAGGCCCAGAGGGATGAAGGACACCTAACAAAGGCTAATAGAAATGTATTTCCTTAGAGTCTTAGACAGCAGACCAAAAAGACTTTACAGTGAAAAGGGAAAGTTAGAAAGGGACCTGTATGATAAAATGTACAATGAAGTCTCAGAAGTACAAAAAGCCAGAATTTTACAGAAAACAAAATTCAGGAAAATGTCAAAAATAAAGCATATGGCCTCAGGTGTTCTTATACAAATGCACAAAGTGTGGGCAATAAGCAAGATTTTTAAAAGATGAGTACAGAAGATGAAAGTAAAGAGAGGTAATAGAATGAATGCTAGAGTATGATATGGTCCTCTAAGAATAATGTCAGAACTTTTTTTTTTAAGGTTTTTTTTTGTTTATTTTTTTTTGGGTGAGGCAATCAGGGTTAAGCGACTTGCCCAAGATCACACAGCTAGTACGTGTCAAGAGGCCATATTTGAACTCAGGTCTTCCTGACTTCAGGGCCGGTGCTCTATCCACTGCACCATCCTAGTTGCCCCAGGTCAGAACTTTTTTGGCTTATCCTAACGTGGTGGTAAAAGCACAGGAGTGACCTCCCCACCATGTCCACCATGACCATTTCAGGATCAGCAGGTTGCTTGCAAAGAAGCAGAAGCAAAATTGTTTCATTCCTTAATGAAGTTACAAGAAAACAGGCAATAAGATCAGGTGCAACTTCAAGAAGAAATACTGGGGAAGGACCAAACTAGTTTATAAAAACTATCAGCATGAGGACATACTTAATCTGCACCAACTCCAAATACCCTACCATCACCCCGATAGGAAGTAAATGTCACTACCTTGCAATTTTGTCAGCTGTCTGCTAAAGTACAGCCATCAAAATAAAACAACAGACTTATTTTGGAAGAGACTATTCTTGTCCTTTTGTTTTCACATATTGAGTTGATAGGTTGAGTAATAAATATGTACATGGGGCAGTACCTGACCTGGAGTAACTCATTTTCCTTAGTTCAAATCTGGACTCAGACACTTACTAGCTGTGTGACCCTGAGCAAGTCACTTAACTCTTTGCCTCAGTTTTCCACACCTGCAAAATGAGCTAGAGAAGAAAACGGCAAATCACTCCAATGTCCTTGCCAAGAAAACCCCAAATGGGGTCACAGAGAGACATGACTGAAAAAGGACTGAACAACAAATGTGCACAATATTTAAAGTGTCCTCTGCATCACTATTTTTATGTATTGTACATGTATAATTATATATTTGCCTGTAAGAAGCAGAGTCTATAATAAACAATAAAGACCTCAGACAGTGTGTATGACCCTGAGCACGTGACTTGACCTCTCTGAATCTGTTTCCTCCTATATAAAATGGAGATGATGACAGCACCTTTTTTATAGACTTGTTGTGGGAAATTAAATGAAATAATGGCTAATGCAGGTTAATTTATAAGCCTTCAGTGCTATATAAACTTGACTCATCTCAGCCAGATTATGTGTGGCCTCTTCTGTTCTAATCAAAGCTAGGGATACTATACATTAAAGAAAGGCAAACCTGTTCAACTCTTATGTTGCTTCTGTTTTCTCTGCTAAGGAGAATGATCTTGGGATTGGAAAGAGCAGAAAATGGCTAATAGGGAGTTTAATAGGAACAGTAGGGGAAAAGAAAGAGAACCTGCCTGCCTTAGATGATGAGTTCATGCTACCAGGCCCAAATGAATTAAATCTTCATTTTAATATTCCTGTTAGAAATGATTGTTGAGTCAGTGTTCTTTGAAAGATCCTGGAGAATGGAAGAGGTACCAAAGGTCTGGAGAAGGGCAAATTTTGTCCTGATCTCTAACTAGGGGAAGCAAATCACTTCTAAAAACTGTAAGCCACTGAGCTTGACTTATAGAACATATTTTTTTTCTTTTTCTTTTTTCTTTTGTTTGAGACTTGTGATTTCAAGGTATGGAGAGCTCCTATGAGGAAAATTCCTCTACCAAGGCAGAGCAGCAACTCTTCTCCAACTTACAGTCTTAGAGAATTGCTTGGGTCATGGAAAGGTTATGAAAATATCTCAGGATTACACAGCCCAAATAGAACATATTATTAAAGGGATAGTTGGTTAATATCTAGAAGAGGAAGCAGTGATGACAGAAGGGTATTCTAGACCAGACCTAACTCAGATAAGTCTAGAGACTCAGGCTTAGGAATAGAATGCTCTAAGTTACTCATGGATTAAAAAAAGCAGTAAGAGTATCTTTACTGAGAAGATTTTTTTAAAAACATATAATTCCTAATTAAAATAAAATATTACTCTCCTCCACATCAGTATTTACCATAGCAAGTGGTAACACTCTCAGGAAGCCATACCTTGCAGGACAACATAAATTGTGTTAAAAGCTCTAGAACATTTTGGTTGTTAAAAGATACATTGAATATTTCTGCATTTATACCTTTGTAAGGTTTTTGTGCCCTAATATATAGTCATTTTTGCTATCACTTTGTCTGAAATCATGATGGCTACCTCTGCCTTTTTACTTCAACTGTAGCACAATAGATTTTGCTCTAGCTCCTTGTTTTAACTTTGTATTTTTCTGTTTCAAATTTGTTCATTATAAGGAACATATTGTTGGATCCTGGTGTCCAATCCATTCTTCTATTCTCTTCCATTTTGGGGAGTAAGTTCATCCCATTCACATTCACAATTATGATGTCTAATTATGTGTTTCCCTCCATCCTGTTCTCTTATACTTTTCCTTCTCTTTTCCCCCCGCCTGCTCTTTAAAAGTTTGTTTAATTTACTCTCCGTCCCCTGTCTCCCTAGGCCCTTTCCTTCCTGTTTCTTTGTTGGGTTAGATGTATTTCCAGACCTAACTCTGTATTTTTCCCACCTTTGACCAGTTTAGTTTAGAGTGAGGTTCATGTGTCACTCTACTGCCCCTATAGACTTCTACTTGTACACCCCATTTACGTGAGATAATTTCCCCCATTCTTCCTCTTCTTTCCCCTTTAGTATAATCCTCTTCCCCTCTGTTTGTATTCTTCTCTTAAAATCATGAAGACATAACAGAACCATTCCCAGACCTTATCTTATCTACTTAGACTCCCTTTATGACCCCTGATTATGAAAGAGTTCCAAGGGGTTACATGTATCATCTCTCCATATAAGAATATAAACAGTTTAACTTTGTTTAGTCTTTTGTGATTGCTCACTTTTGTTTACCTTTTTATACTTCTCTTGACTCCTGTGTTTGTATGTCAGATTTTCTTTTCAGCTGTGGTCTTTTCATCAAGAATGCTTGGCATTTCTCTTTTTCATTAAAGGTCCATTTTCCCCTTATAGGATTATAATCAGGTTTTTTTGAGTAAGTTTTTCTTAATTGTAAGCCTAGATCTTTTGCCTTCTTGAATATCATATATGCAAGTTCCTCTTTCCTTTAGAGTGGTGGCTGGTAAATCTTCTGTGATTCTGACTGTAGCTTCTTGATATTTCAATTATTTCTGGCTGCTTGCAGTATTTTTTCCTTAACCTGGTAGTTCTGGGTTTTGGCTTTAATATTCCCGGGAATTTACATTTTGGTGTTTCTTTGAGGAGGTGACCAATGGTTTATTTCAGTTTCTACTTTGCTTTCTGGTTCTAAGAGAATGGGGCAATTTTCTTTTAGAAATTTCCTGGAATATAATGTCTAGGTTCTTTTTTTGGTCATGACTTTCAGGTACTCCATTGATTTCTTAAACTATCTCTCTTCAGGGGGGCAGCTAGGTGGCACAGTGGATAGAGCACCTGCCCTGAAGTCAGGAGAACCTGAGTTCAAATCCAGCCTCAGACCAAACACTAGCTAGTGTGACCTTAGGCAAGTCACTTAACCCCGATTGCCTCACCCCCCCCAAAAAAAACCAAAAAAAATTATCTCTCTTCAGTCTGTTTTCCAGGTTAGTTATTTTTCCTATGAGATACTTCACATTTTTAGTCATTTGATTTTATTTTAATTTCTTGATGCCTCTTGAAGTTGTTAGCTTTTATTTGGTCAAATCTGATTTTCAAGGAGTTATTTTCTTCAATATGGCTTTGTTTCTTTTTTGAAGCTGTTAATTCTTTGCATTTATTCTATAGATTTCAGTTCTTTTCCAATTTTTTTCCTCTACCACTCCCATTAATTTTTAAAATTATTTTTAGTCCTTTTTAATTTAACTCTAGGAATTCTTGTTGGACCTTTGTCCAAACTGCATTTTTCTTTGAGGCTTTGTTTATAAATGTTTTCAAGTAATTTTTTTTTCTTTTGGGTTTGTGAATTTTCTTGTCACCAAAATAAGTCATTATGGATTTTTTTGTTAGTTCGATCTTCTCTCCTACTTCTTGACCTTAGACTTTCTGTTACTTTTGGACCCTGTACACTATGAGGAAGAATGTCTTGCCTGAGCTTCTGTCCTCTTTTTTTCTGTCCTTTTGCTGCTTTCACAGAACCAGAACCAAAAACCCCCAAACCAAAGCCATACCCCAAACCCAATAACATAAATTTAGGAACCAATGAAGGTTTATTGAGTTCACCAGCAAAGGAGCCCCACCCCCATGAGTGGAGATTCCCTGAATGAACAAAAGGACAAAGCTTATATAAGTTTCAATTTAGGCAGGAGGTGAATTGGGTATGGGATTGGACAAGGCTATTGCTGGGTGCTTGTGGGGTAGGAATAGGGGATGTGGTATCCTATGACTGGACAGGTCTGTTGCTCGGGCTAGTAACAGGAAAGACTCTTCAGGTTAGCTATATCTTGTAACCCTGCTCTAATAGATAGGATTATCCTTGCTGTTTCCACAGTAAGGGAAGTCCCAGATGGGTGATTGGGAGGGTGGGGAGCTGGGAGGGGGGGATGGGGGGGAAGGTTGCAGAACAAGCAGGGTCAGGGGCAATAGAGGAACTTCTGACAAAGTGTAGTTGTACTCTGTCTGCTACCCACAATAACTATGTATGTGTGTATACACACACACACACACACACACACACACACACACACACACACACAC